GCAGTTCCTACCTCACAGGATTATTGTGATTCTCAAATAGGGTTAAACAAACGTAAAGCATTTCACAAATGTACCATGTAAACTTCAGATATTTTCATTGTTGTTTCATGCATATGAGTCTAACCACCCAAACACTGTAAGCACTTTATGGACAAAAACCATCTCACTGAACCAAATACAGTGCAGGGCATACAGTAGGAGCTCCATAAATGAGTGATTGTTTGAGTATGCCAAATCTTCTATTACTTTCAGACTCTGCTCCATTTTAACATACAGAAGCAGGAAAAGAAATTTTAAATTGTGCAAGAACACAGAAAAATGTCTAGCATTAAAAAATAAAAACAAAAAAAACAGGATTCTGCCCAAACTGTCACCTCTCAGCAATGGCCATTATATACAGCCTATAAATCTAGAAGTTTTCCTAGACAAAAAGGTGTTTGTTGACAGAGAACAAGGAAGGAACCCAGGCAAAATGCAACCACCAACTAACTATTGGGTTATTCAAGAACCATAAAGTATAGATGTATGTGAGACAAAAACAAAAGGCAAGCAGCTGAAGCACCAAGGCAGTCTGAACCTTGAGTTTGTATCTGTCCTCTATTTCCCAACCTGTGAACAGACATCTCTCCAGCAGAATGCCAGCTCTCTCGGGGGAAGGGGGGGGGGGTGTCCTGTCTCGCTTGTGCTGTATCCCTCAGGCCCAAGGCAGGGCCTGGCACACAGTTAAGTGCTCCACAAATGCTTGCTGACTGACTGATCCCTCAACAGTGCCTCCCCTTCCCTAGAATTGCTCTGGCGACTCTACTAGGAAAATATTTAATGCCATTAGTGCCCACAATCACTGTAGTGGCCTATTCTTCTTGTTACTTAAGCAAGTAGCAGCAGTGGGCCACAAACAAGTGCAAGCTGTTACTATCATTCATGCAGGATCCATTTTTTGTGCCTTTTTGGTAGAAAAGTATCAGCTGGGGCAGCAAAGTAAGACTCAGTTGTGCTAACCTGTCATAAGAAAGCTGTGTCAGCCACTGGCCTTCCTTATCTTTTCTGGTTACCTGCTCCTTTGTTGTCAGCATGGTCTCAGTCCCCACTGGAGGTCCCTACCTCCATACGACTCCTCCACTCCTACTAGAACCTTCATCGTGAGAGCAACCACCATGAAAGACTCCAGGGCTAGGCCCAACTACACTGGAGTTGCTCCATGCTATGGACAAAGATGGCGAGCTGGGGCAGACTGGGATGCAGCACTTGCATGCAGGAGACCTGGGTCCAAATCTCAGTTCTGACACTTAGTAGCTGTGTTACCCTAGAGGAGTCACTTAACCTTTGAGTGTCACTACCTCATTTGGAGATGACACTTCCACCACCTTCCTCACGGAGCCGGTATGTGATGAGAGTTATCTCCCACATAACAGTTGCCTCTTCTACCCTTGAAGCCTTCTTTAAAAACTTAATGAGATTATATATCTGCAAGGGTAATTATTAAAAATCTAAATGTTTTACTATATTCTAATATTCTTTTTAATTCCAAGATGTTTGGCAGGATTAATAATTTACCTTGCCATTTTAATTAACTGTCCACTGATTTTGTGTGTATCACTCAACCTTATCTCAAAAAGTCCAGCATACTGTGTGCGTATTCTTCTCTTGTACCTTGGGCCTAAAGTAAATGAAGCCCTATTGCTTGAGATACTAATTTAGTGAAGTCCCAATTCAATCCAATAAGCATCTACCAAGTGCCTACTGTGCGCAAAACAAAATGCAAAACAAAACAGCTTCTCATTGAAGGCACTTAGATTCTACTGGGGAGAAACAATACAAAAACAGACAAGCATAAACAGGATCATTGACAAAGTGGGAGAAAGCACTAACAACCAAGGAGATTAAAAAAATCAATCAATTGACATGCATCGATTAAGGGATGGAATAGGAACAGCGCTCTGAGAGCAACAAGGGATTCTAAGAGCTGGAGATGAGGAGGGAGTACATTTCAGGTAGGGAGGAAGCCCATGAAAAAGCGTGGAAGCCAGAGATGGAGGCCAAGTTCAGGAACCAGCCAACAGTCAGCTGGCTACAATGCAGAGAGGATGAAGATGAAGAATGTGCATAATAAGCATAGAAAGGTAGGCTAGAGCCAGATAGGAAGGGCCTGAAATGCTAAGCTGAGGAGTTTATACTTTATCCTAGAAGCAGTAGGGAGCCACTGCAGTTTCTTGAGCAGGAGAAGCTGTCTGTGCTTTGGAAAGATTATTTTGGCAATTACATGGAAGGTGGACTGGAACAGGAAAGGAAAGAATCTAATCTGGGAGGCTATTTCTGGGACTATTAAGGTAATATGGTCAAGAGGTGATGAGGGCTGAAGGAGGACAGTGGCCATGCAAACAGGGGGAAGAGAAATGATGCTGAGGATGTTACAGCAGCAGACTCTCAGATTCTAAACCTCAGTGACATGAAGGATACTGGTGCCCTCAACAGAAAGAGGAAAATGTGGAGGAGGGTTGGGGAGTAGTGGTGGAAGATAATGAGGGGACATCAGTCAATAATCAATAGATCAATATTTATTAAGTGCCTACTACTGCCAGATACTGTGCTAAGTGCTGGGGATACAAAAAGAATCAAAGACAGTCCCTTATAATCTAACGTGGGAGACAACATGCAAACAAACATATGCAAAGCAACCTATATACAAGATAAATCAGAAATAATTAACCAAGGGAAGACACTAAAATTAAAGGGGATTGGGGAAGGATTCTTGTAGAAGGTGGGATTTTAATTGGAACTTAAAAGAAGCCAGGGAGGTCAGTAGTCTGAGTGGAGGAAAAAGAGCATTCCAGGCACTGGGACAGCCAGAGAGATGGTATGTCTTGTTCACGGAAGAGCCAAGAGTAGTGTTAGTGAGTAAGGTATAAGAAGACTGGAATGTTAGGAGGGGGCCAGGTTACAAAGGGCTTTGAATGCTAAACAGAGCATTTTGTACTTGATCCTGAGGTTAATTTGAATCCAATGGAGTTTACTGTAGGAGGGTGACATGATCAGACCTGAGCTTTAGCAAAAATCACTTTAGTGGCTGAATGAAAGCTGGATTGGAGTAGGGAGAGACTTAAAACAAGTAAACCCACCAGGAGGAATGAGGTGATGAGGGCCTACACTAGAGTAGTGGCAAGGTTAGAGGAGAGAGGGGGATATATTGGAGATGTTGCATAAGTATAATTGACAGGCCTTGGCAACAGATTGGATACTGGGGGTGGGAGGTGGGGAGTGAGAGACACTGAGGAATCCAAGATGACTCCCAGCTTGTGAGCCTGAGGGACTACGAGCATGTTGCTGCCCTCTACGGTAAAAGAGAAAGTGAGGGGTGGGGGAGGGTTTAAGGGAAAGACAATGAGTTCTGTTTTGGATATATTGCATTTAAGATGTCTACTGGACATCCAGTTCAAGACACCTGAAAAGCAACTGGAGATGAAAGAGTGGAAGTCAACACAGAATTTAGGGAAGGCTAGTTAGTTAGGAGAATCAACAGCACAGAGATGGTAATTAAATCCATGGAAGCTGATGAGATCACCAAGTGAAACAGTAGAGAAGAGGAAGAGAAGAGAGCCCAGGACAAAACTCTGAGGGCACCTATGGTAAAGAGCACATGGTCTGGAGGCAGATTCAGCAAAGGAGACAGAAAGAAAGTGGTCAAATAGGGAAGGAGAACCAGGCATGTCCCAAAAACCAAGAGATAAGAAAGTATCAAGGAAGAGAGAATGATCAACAGTGTCAAAAGCTACACAGAGGTCAAGGAGAATGAGGACTGAGAAAAGGCCAACTTTGGCAACTAAAAGATTATTAGTAACTTGGGAGAGAGCAGTTTCAGTGGAATGATGTCAGAAATCAGACTGTAAGGGATTAAGAAAAGAGTTTGGTTTGCTATGGGATGTCCAATAAACAGTTGGTGAACACTCAGAAAAGAGAGGACTAGAAATAGAGATATGAGAGTTAGCAACACGGAGACAATCTTTAAACTCATGGGATTTGATGACTTTAGCAAGAGAAAGCATACAGAGAAAGAAAAGAAGGCACAAAGACAAAACCCTGGAAGACATTCATGCTTAGGGGATGGAATATGCCTGAGGATCCAACAAAGGAGCCCGAGAAGTAGACAGACAAGAAGGGAAAAACTAGGAGAGAGCAGTGTCATGAAAACCCAGGGAGCTAAAAGGATTCAAGACGGGGAGGTAGTCATTGGTGTCAAATGCTCTACAGAGATCAAGGAGGTTGAATACTGAGAACAGGCCATAATATTTAGCAATTAAGAGATTACAGGTAACCTTGAAGAGAGCTGTTTCAGTTAAGATTGGATAGAGCCAAACTTAGGAGAGGTTGGATACAAGATTACAAAGGGCTGAGAAGTGAGAGCAAAGGAAAAGAATGAAGGCACTAATTATAAATGGAAGGGAGCAGAGATACTAGACTCTTAAGGGGATAGAAGGGTTAAGTGAAAATTTTTAATAATGATGGAAATCTGGGCATGATTGTATGTGGCAGGGAAGGAGAAAGCAGATAGGAAAAGACTGAAAATTAGAGAGGGAAGGGATGATTGAGAAGTCAAGATACCTCAGCTTTAACCACAGAAGTAAAAATACTGGCATACATCGGCATCCTCTGTAAACTACCCTTGGTATATCTCAAAAAAAGAAGGGCTGAAGGGCAGCTAGAAGTAAATCTTTCTGTGTCTATCTCTTTCAAAGCATCACTGATAAAACTGTTTTTCTATAAAAACAACAACAAAAAGCCAATAAACTGCTAATAAAACATTTCAGTAGTTCAACGGGTCCATGATCTCATTGATGTGGATACAAAATGAAACCCAACCATCCCATTTCATCCTATGTGACAATTTATTCATAAATCCTCCAGAAAGTGTCGAGCCAACATGCTGAAGGTCTTTGGGAAAATAAACCAAAACTTCTCAATATTCTGGCCAAACATATAAAGGCTTAACAAAGTAACATACTTACCAAAATACTACCATTTTTTTAATGAATTATAGCAGGGCAGAAGAGGTACTACGTATGAAGACAGGAAAAAACTACATAAATTTTCCAAAGAAAAAGGAGGAAAATCTTGTAATTCCTTTATATTCATCAATGTTGATACCTAGGAAAAAAATGGAAGTTACTTTTACAAAAAGACACTATAACTTTAACAGTTATTTGTAAAAAAAAAAATGACATGAAAACAAGAAAATTTCAAATACTGACCCCTCTCCCCTCAAAAAAATCCAAGCCCTCTACACAGAAATGAGAAAAGGAAACAATTAAGCATTTAAGGAGCCATTTTATTTTAAAATAATAACTAGCATTTATGTAACACTTTCAGTAGTAAAGTACTTTCACATATTATTATCTCATTTTATTCTCAGAACAACCCTGTGACTTAGGTGATACTACTACCTCCATTTTACAAATGAAGAAGCTGGGGAAGGGGAATAGAAAGGAGAGAACAAGCATTTAAATAGAACCCGCTATATGCCAGGCACCATGCTAAGCACTTTTTACAAATATCACATTTGATCCTCACAACTCTCTGATGTAGGCGACATTATTATCACCATTACACAGCTGAGAAAACTAGAGCAAACACAAACTTGCCCAGGTTACTTAGCTAAAATAAATGTCCAAGGTGGGATTTGAATTCAGGTCTTCCTGACTCCAAGTCCAGCACTTCCCTTCTTACCTTTGCAGTTGTCTTATACCTTACTCTTCATATACTCTGCAATGCAATGACACTGGCTTCCTTAAACATTCCAAAAATGTTCACTTCATTTGAAAAATGACATTCCATTTCTCAACTCCAGCCATTTTCACCAACTGTTCCCTACCCCTGCAGCACTTTCCCTCTTCGCCTCTGCCTCCTGGTTTTGAAATTATTTCAAGTCTCAGCTAAAGTCCCATCTTCTCCAAGACACCTTTTCCAATCCTCCTTATTCTCAGTGCTGTTCCTATGAAATATCTCCCTATTTATCCTCTCTTTATATCCAATTAATCCTGTATATATTTTGTTTGTACAAAGTTGTTTTTATGTTGTGAGCTTATAGAGAATAGAGACTGTTTTTTGCCTTTCTTTGTATCCGAAGCACTTAGCACAGTGCCTGGCAAACAGAAGGAACTTAATAAATGCTAGCTGACTGACTATACATTGTGCCTCCTAGCTGCCTTTAGGTAAACAGAGGGCATGAAGAATAGTCAAGGATTTTAGATATTATTTAGAAATCAGCTAAAACTGAAACAAGGCAAGCCAGCCTAGAAAGAGCTCTAAATAGCTCTGGATACATGAAAAATATCCAGAAATTCTGAAGCCATGAAAAAACACATACTTATTTGTTTTTTCTACCTTTTTTTTCCAAGAAGAAAAACTAAATATATGCAATATTTGTTTTTAGCACCCTTTACAGATCACTGTAAAGACTTCCTATTTAGTTAGACTCACTACTAGTTTGTAACAAAGAATAACAAAAAACATGTTATGCATCATTTGGCTTATTCATAGTATCAGGTTAGTAAATTTAAAAGTGGAATAATTATTCACATAAAAATTACTAATTGAGTTTACTTTTTTAAAAAATTATAAATGAAATCACAAGCTTCTGAACTTTAAGGAATCTCTTAGTTTTTACCAGTTTATAAGATGGCAAAGGGAAAAAAATCTGCATCATAGTAAAACACAGAAAGTTATATTTTCTGGACCTTGTATGTTCCACAATGTCAAGTAAAGTCATTTTCTGCAGTCATTTTCAGAAAAGAAACTGAGAAATTCCCAAACTTGATGAACTGTAGACCATCTGGTCACAAGGCTAAGAAGAGTCAAATTCCAACTTCTTTCTAAATCTAAAACTTCTCCCTATCCTGAGCCTTTTGAACAAGACAGAGAATAAACCACTTGTTTCTAATACCTATAGAAACAAAAGGATGGGAGTGTGCATTCTGCTGCCATCTCTCTGAGGTAAGAGAGCCAGTTTACCAATATCTAACTCAGAAATCCACAAGAAAAAACCCACAAGCAAACAATGCCCTGAATCTTTTTGTCTCATAAAAAATAGCAACATTTTCTGTAGGTAAAAAATGTACCTTCATTTTGGTATCTGACAGTTGTGTTCTACTCTTTGAGGTACACAAGAACTGTAACGGTCTGATACTATTAATAGTTACCTACAAGAATTATCTATTTGTGCAGTTCTCAGAGATCATTTTAGAGAATAAAGTCTAGGTAGTAAAAAATTTTATGATTCTAAACATACAATATATCTTTTTTTCCAGAAAAGAACACAAAAACAGTGTTTTACAAATCTGTCCTTGTATGTTTCTCCTGTTTGTAGATGAGTATGGGGGGTGGGAGGTGGAGAGAGACATAAAAGAGAAGAGTCTTCAAGATTTATCAATCAATCCTACTATGTGCAAGGCACTGTGCTAGAATTTTATAATCTCCAGCACTTGTGATAGAAGAGAAATAAGTAACACCTAATAAAACACAAAATTACTGAGTAGACATGGAATTCAATCACTGCAGCACAGTGAAGATTGTTAGATTTGGCTTTACTTATACATTCATTAGTAAGGAAGAGAGAGTGCAAACAACACATTTAATTAAATTTTCTGATTAATCCATATTAGGAAGTATGGCTAAGAATAGTGTGAAACAAAAATAATAAAAAGATAAAAAACACTAAAAAGAAACAACAAAATCAGATACTATATGGTACACATTTGGACAGTGGCATAGATTAACAACCTATCAAAAGTACACTTGGCCTTTTGCTATTCTACCTAAAAATCACTGCTGAGATCTGAGAGCAGAATAGGGAAAAATATTTTGCAGTAGCTCATTAAAGAGTTAGATCAAAACAGGCAATGAAGCTTGAGGCCATTTTGTACTACTCATCTATACCTCTCTGAAAACTATCCATGCCAATAAGAATAAAGTTAACCCACCACTGGATCAAACAGACCTATGTAACAACTAACCCACTAACCCTGTGATGTCAATCTTGAACTGTTTTCAACTGATTAATTTAAATACTTAAGCACCATCATAGAATTTCCTTTATCTTTTACAGAGCACATTTAGTTAATCCCAATCTTGGATAATTCCTAAAGAATAATTAATTCCTTCCTTCACTCCCATACAAGTGCAAAGCATTGATGAATAAAATGCTATATAGGGGCAAGTCACTTAAACCCACTGCCTACCAAAAAAAACAAAACAAAAAAATAAATAAATAAAATGCTATATAACCAAACAGATTTGACCAAATACCAATTCATGCTCACTTGGCCTTAGCTTCTGAAAGATAATCTTACTAATATTCAAGTTCCCTGGTTTATTCCCCACAACAGTTACTTCAAACCATCTTCTCCTTAAGACATCATTTATTACCTGCCACCCTCCCATAGTCAATGACATAAGTCAGGCTTATGATCCACTGCTCCTTTCCACCTCAAAAGCTTTCTCTACTGCAAAGCATGGTAGAGAACACTGGACTTCCAATCAGTTGAGGTCTAGGTTCAAATCCCCATTTCAAACATTTACTATATGACCATCAATAAGTCACTTTAAGCCTTCTGAGCCTCAATTTCCTTCATCTGAAAAACTGAGATAATATTTACAGTAATTAACCTTCATATGATTACTGTGAAAGTCGAATGTAATAATGTACACAAAGCATCATATAAAATTTAAAGCACTAAATAAAAATTAATCATTCTTATCGAAAAAATTTTTTGGGTCAAGACCTGTGTTAGAAACTCCTTAAACCAAAACTCTCTCTACTGTTACAAATTAGCACCTCTACTTGTAACTTAGAATCTTAAGAATTGCTGGGAACCCTGAGAGGTTAATAAACATGGTCATGGTCACATAGCTCAAAAGTACCTAGGTCTTCCTAACTTGAAGGTCCTATCCACTGTATCATACTGTCACTCATTATTGTTGTTGCTGTTATCTCTTCATCTATCCTGGCACATAGTAGGTACCTGAAAAATGCTTGCTTGATATGCTGACATTTCCTGCAGAGAGAGATCAGGTGTGATCTCTAAACTCCTTCTCAGTCTAATATTCTAATTCTGTAGGAAATGTGTTGTTCAGTCGTGTCTGACTCTTTGTGTGACCCCATCTGGAGTTTTCTTGGCAAAGATACTGGAGTGGTTTCTCATTTCCTTCTTCAGCTCTTTTAAGATGAAGAAACTGAGGCAAACAGGGTTTAGTGATTTGCCCAGGGTCACCCAGTTAGTGTCTGAGGCCAGATTTGAACTCAGGAAGATGAGTCTTTCTGACTCTAGGCCTGGCACTGTGCCAACACAGATGACCTCTGTAATAAACATCTCCCTTCTAAATCTAACCATGTGCTCTGTATGACCTACCTTCCCACCTCCTAGAAAAACCCATCTCATTTTCTAACATCTTTTATCTTCCTTCCTCTAAAGACTCACTGTCCTTTGAATAGGCTAAACTATCTTATGGGGAAGAGGGGAGAGAATCCACGATTGCTCTTGCTATCCCTCTTTAACCACCATCCTATCACTTGCCTATTCCGAGCTAAATGTGAAATAAGTGATCTTTAATCACGCCCTTCTTTCCTTTGACGTCTAGTTTGTATCTTTACCCCTCTACTGAATGACCTAGAAGACTCATCACATTTTTTAAACTCTTCTTTTGAATATGCCTTCAGAACCCACTAGTATATTCTAAGTAATTTCAATAATAACTAATCTTTATCCTGCAGGGCCAATTTAACTTTTGGAAATAGCCAAATCTATTAGTCAATAAGTCCAGACAACAATCTCAGTTCTCATCTTCTTTTATACCTCTTCTAGTCAGTACTGCAGACTTTTTTTGAAACGTTCTCCACAATTCAATTCAACAAACATATGAATGATCATGAAGTATGGTACTACTGTAGATACAAGGATGAATAAGGCACTGCCCTCAAAAGGTCAGAATCCTCCTTTGATTTCCATGACACTATAATCTCCAGGTTTTCTCTATCTGCAAATTAATCTTAATGTTTTCTTCAATTATTATTTTTTCCTCCCATCTCCTTACTGTGAAAATTCTTAAATGCTCAGTCTTTAGTCCCATGATCTTTTCCCATTATACCCATT